AAAAAAAAACCAAGAAAGAAAATATTTTTTAAAATAAAATAAAAAAAGATTTCATCTATGTTTGGAATGGATAATATGATATCAGAATTAATGTCCAATAAATTAGAAGAAACTTTAGCTGTTATTCGACAAGTTATGGAACAATTTCAAAATCCAGTAGGAATTTTTTATTAAAATATATTTAAAAATGATTTTTGTTTTATTTAAAAAGAATTTAACAACATTTATTTGTGTTTGTATACCAGAATTTTTATCATTATATGAAACTGAAAGATTAGTTCAAGAATTAGCTAAATGTCATATTGATACACATTCAATAATTGTTAATCAAGTTTTATTTCGAACACCAGGAGAAAATCCAAATTCATGTAAACGATGTGCATCAAGAATGCGTCTTCAACAAAAATATATTGAACAGGTTTTTATTTATTTATTTATTATTTAATTATAAATCAATTTCAAGATTTTTTTATATTTAGATTGATGATCTTTATCAAGATTTTAATCTTGTTAAATTACCTTTACTTGATGATGAAGTTCGAGGTCCATCAAATATAAATTCATTTTCTCAACATCTTATTAAACAATATAAACCATAAACAAAATCATTTTAATCGAAGATTTATTATTTATGGAAGAATAGAAATCGAATTTAAAAATAAGATCATTTATTTCTTTTTCTCTTTTTATTTTATCTTGAAAAATGATTCTATACTTTCATAGAAATAAAATAAAAACTTATATTAATATATGATTAAACAAATATTTATCTATTGATTTAGAAATTATAATTTATCTCTAGAAGATAAATTCAACTCGACATTTTAAATTTATAATTTATAAAAATATTTTTTCAAAATGTGTAGAGATACTTATTTAAATATCATCTTATTTACTGTTTTATTCAAATTCTTTCAATAGATATATTTTTAACAAGTTAAACTTACTTTTTTTTAATCATATTATTAATTATTTTATATTAACTGACAAATTATTAGTTAATCATCAAAAAAAAAAAATTTTGATAATTGTTACAATGATTGAGTTGATTTAGAAAATTGAATATTAAAAAAAAAATGTTAATAAGATAAATTTGTTTATTTAACTGATTTGATTATATTTCTAGTCTAATTTCAATAGATAAATAAGAATTTCAACTCGAAAATTAATCTATTCTTACTCTTTAGGAATGTTAAAAAAAAAACATGAAAATATTCGAATAGATATTGACGATTAAAATTATTGAAAAATCAATTATCTTTTTATCAATATTGAATTATAGTCAAATATAATGATTATATATAAACACTATATAATATAACATTAAAAAAAAACGTCTAGATATATTTGAAATATATACCGGGTGGCCCAAAAGTAAGGAAAAATAGTATTTTTTTTTTTTTGATTTCTATCTTATAGATTGTCGCTTACGCCTGATATTTATACCATATATACTAGGTGTGATAAATAAAAGATTGAGCATATGAACGATATGTAAATGTAGTAAATAATCTAAAAGCGTTCAAATACAGAACGACTAACAAGAAGAAAAAACTTGTGTATTCCAATAAAACTTTTACTAGAAGTTCCAACTAAGAATAAAACACGTGCAAAAGTATGTCTTTGTGGAGTGTTCTTATGATGAAGTTCTTCAGAGAAATTGTTCAATATGTTTACCACCTAAGTCTTTGCAAAGTTGCAGTCTCTCAGGTACTGAGTAGCAAGCGCTTTGACAAAATTTCACCGGTAAACTTCGTATTTCAGTGAGTATAGCATCTTTTAGTGCTTGAAGACTTTGAGGTTTCGTCGCGTATACATGCTCCTTGATGACAGCCCATAAAAAAAAGTCAATTGGTGTGAGGTCTGAAGATCGTGGCGGCCAGTCGATCCATTCACGTCGACCAATCCACCTATCAGGAAATGTTTTGTTCAGAAAGTGCCAGACAGATTGAGCGTAATGAGCCAGTGCTCCGTCGTGCATATAGACCAGAGATGGGCAGCTCCGACTATTTCTCGCTCCAGCTCCGCTCAAGCTCCAGTGATTAATGACTCGCTCCACTCCGACTCCACTCCAGGCTAGAAGATTTCTCTCCGGCTCCGCTCCAGCTCCGGTTTTAATAAAGAACAGTCGCTCCAACTCTGCTGTAGTAAAAATGCTTTTTGCTATTTTTTTTAACGCTTGATGATGTTCAATGAATTTCATATTTTACTTCAGCATATATATATATAATAAAGAAAAAAAATAATCAATATGTTTAAGAAAAAAACCAAATTGTCAATATATATAAGAAAAAAATCAAAGTATCATTTTATTTAAGAAAAGAACCAAATTATCAATATGCTTAAGAAAAATCTAATTATCAATATATTTAAGAAAAAACCAATTGCCGATATACATTAAAAAAACTAATTATCAATATCTATGAAATTTTGAGTTTTTGGTTACGGTTGATGAAAGACTGATTAGAAGATGTACGACTTCAATCGATTTTTAATCATTTTTTTTAATCGATTTTAATCTGATCTTACTTCTAATTTTTTTCATATGAAAAAAGTAAAAAAATGAATGTATGATTGGAGGTAGAGGCAAAAGGCCGCTCCGACTCCGCTCTCAGTGAAAAAAAATCGCTCCGCTCCGCTTCATGGAGCGGCCGCTCCGGAGTCGGAGCTGCCCATCTCTGATATAGACTACCTCTTCTAAATTCATTTCATTTGCAATAGAGGGTAAAATATCTTTTTGGAGCATCTCGAGATAGCTGTCTGCAGTAACGTTGTCATAAAAGAAGAACAGCCCGATGATGCCTCCAACCCAAATTCCAGCCCACACAGTGATGCCTGGGATATTCATTTCTTGAGTAATGATAACATGGGGATTTTCTACAGCGTAGTAAACGCATTTGTGTCGTTTGACATGACCACTCAACTTGAAAATAGCTTCATCAGTCCAAACAACTCGATCAAGCAAGGAAGAGTCGTCAGCTAACAAGTCGAGAAAGATCTCGGCAAATTCACAACGTCTGTCAGGATCATCTTCATCTAAACCATGTAGCAATTGTGGACGAAATGGCTTCAATCCCAGTTCTTTCATCATTCATTGAAGACTACTTCTAGACAGATTCAGTTCTAAAGAAGCTCTTCTTGTTGAAGTTGCAGGACTTTCTTCAAAAGCAGTACGAGCACGTTCTTTGTTCTCGTCGGTACTAACGGATCTAGGACGACCAGATCGCGGTCTATCTTCGAGGCTTCCAGTTTCGTTAAGCTTCCGTACAAGACTCAAAATATTCTTTGATGTTGGAGGAGTACGATCAAAACGATTTTGAAATTGACGAGCAACTTCAGCTGCATTTTGGTAAATGGCGTACTATTTCACAATTTCAGTTTTTTCACGTAACGACAAACGAAAACTTTTACTCATGGTGATGAAAATGTGAAAAAAGTTAGAGTTATACAAACAACAGAAAATGTAAAGAGAAACAAAAAATAAACCAGCCGATAAAAGAGATAACCATTAGTATTGTTGTCTTCTAGATGCCACTCCTCACACATATAAGTACTATAAGAGAACAAACAATAATATTCGCTTTCTTTTTTTTACATACACTATATTTGTATGCTCTTGGATCACTTACTACATCTACATATCGTTCATATGCTCAATCTTTTATTTATCACACCTAGTATATGTGGTATAAATATCAGGCCTAAGCAACAATCTATAAGATAGAAATCGAAAAAAAAAATACTATTTTTCCTTACTTTTGGGCCATCCGGTATATAGGTGTTCTAATTTATGAAATATTAGTCGGAGAATCTTCTTTTCTGGGTGTTGATGAAATAGAAATTTTGATTCAGTTGTAAATGATGAAGTCAAATTTCCAAAGTTTCTTTCTGTTGAACCCATAACTGTTATGAAATGTGTATGATAATTATTTCATTTTCTAGTGATTATTTTAATTTAATCTATAAATTTATCTAAAGCTTCTGCGTAAAAATGGTGTACAATGAATGATTGGGTGTTAGCGAATATGATGCTGCTGATATCAAACAATAATCTTTTTTAAGGTTTATTTTTATTGAAACATTTATTATTAGAAAAAACAATAAAGGAAATTAACACTCCTTTTTTCGAGATATTCATAATTTATAAACATAGTGATGCTTGTTATGCAACTAACGCTAAAATTTCATTTCGACGGCGTGCAATGTTGACACGAGCTAGTTTTATGAGCACATCTTTTTCTTTATCGGTGAAGACAATTGAAACATCATTTCTATTTTCAATACAATGAATAAGTTCATGTTCATTACATTGACCGTTAATAACATCATACAAATAAGTATCAATAAAGCCGTCTGATTTGTAGGTTATACCACTTTTGTGTAATAAAAATTCGAGTAATTCAGTTTTTGGTAATTCAGCTTCATTGCAAAAAGTCTGAAGAATGTTATTAATCAATATTGTTGGTTCATCATTTATTTCTGTTTCAGATTGAATCTTTTCTAATGTAGATAAAGTATAATATCTTCTGAAATCATAACACTCTTCTAATCTTCTTATTTTTTCTTCATTTTGCAGATCAAACTCATCTTGAATTTGTTTTGTCAATGGTGCTAATAAATCATTATAGACTTGTTTTAATACTTGATTACTTGCTGGTTTGCTGTAACAGATAATTGACAATTTTGTAGGTAAAAGCTAGTGGTGTAACCATACGGAAGTTAGAGGGAGCTCAGCTTTCCTTCTATAGAAGTTTTTTAGCACTCAGATACAAGCGGTTAAGCTCAGCTAAAAAGTATTTTTTACTTTTTTTTTACAACTTTTCTCTGACCGTCCCACGAGTAAAAATAAAACATCGGCTTACTTTAATTGGTAATATGCACCAAGTAACTGTTTAGCTTGAGCAATTAAATCATCAGTTTCAGCAAGTAAATCATCAGTTTCAGTATTTAACTCCTTATTTTCAGCATCTATTTGCTTGGCTTGATTACATACATTATTAATTAGATCTTGGATTTTATCATTGTCATTCTTCAAATCAGATAATTGATTTTGTATTTCTTCACAATCATTTTCGATATCACTGATTTGTTCTCGACTTTGTTTTGTATGTTCCTAAAACAGGAAAAAAAAGAAGTAAAAGGGATATTTGTATAATACTTACTAATAATTGATATGTAATTACTCCGATGCAAAATAATATTCGTAGAATTTTCTGTGTTTTATTTTCATTAATCAAGTTGATTAAATTTTCAATTTCTATTAACATTTTGTGAATGTCATTTGCTCGATATTTTTCGTTAGTCTGTAAAGTAATATCTTCATTAAGTTTTTTTATATGATTTAAATAGCTCGAGGGCAGATCACGTATGTCTTCACAGGCTTCAATTAATTCTTTAATTAATTCATTAATTTTATCAGCTAAAATAGATAAAATAAGTATAATCCCAGGTTGAATAGATACGCTCGTAAACAGTCGTCTACGGACAAATACGGGATAAGAGAAAATCTTGACAGAACAAAAAAGTTTTCACTGTTTTTCTATAGAAAACGTTGCACATTTGCGGATTTTCTAACTTTAAAGATATATTTGAACTCTCAAAACGTATCCAGTAGGTAGAGGACACTGTAGAGCACATGTAGAGAAAAAAAATTGAAAATTTTGGATCGAGAAAGAGAGACCCCTTAAACTGTTTTAATTTTAATTTTTTTTGGCGTTTATGAGCCTCTTTATGGGTTGCAGAGAGTTTTGCAAGTAACACTCAATCAGTCAGGACAGTTACAAGCATAAAAAAAAGGAAATTCCCTTTAATTTTAAGAAAGTAAAGTTAAGGTGCCATATCTACTCTGGAATCAGCTTATTCACCAATTGAAAAGAAAATGAATTCAAATATGTAATTCAATTTTTATTCTTGACTTACTTCGATATTGCCACATAATTTCAGCTTCAATAATTTTCTTCTGTTATTAGAATAAACGAGAAAAGTTTTTTTTTATAATTGATTAAAATCAAACTCTTAAAATTACCTCTGGAAAAAAATAATTTTTAACAATTATATATACATTTAGAAGCAATTTCATGGCCAAATAGACAATATTTTTCATTTTCTTTTGTATTGAATCCGATTTTCTTTAGTAAATAAAGTCTTATGTTGGTTTCTCAATTAATATTCTATTAAATTATTTTGAATTGAATAACCAACTTCAAAGCGATAAACAAATCTGAAAAAGACAATAGTATCCAAGAACCGATAAATAGGAATTCCGAAACTGTTAGGAAACTATTGATAGAACTATGATAGTTCCTTGGAGAATCGAGAATTGGTCCTCAGTTCTCTCACAGTTCCACCATTCGTAATAGTTCAAGCGATACATTCTATGAAATATTTTTCGCATCCGCACGTTCATCCTCAAAATTTCTTCATTGTTATGAATGTAGAAGCGAAAACTATCGTGAATACTGTGTTATTTTGATTTTGGCAATCATAGAACTGTGGGGAAATTGAGGAGGAATTTCTATTTCTTAGTCCTTGGACACCCTTCCATGATATAGTACACCCTGAACAAACAGGACATAATGACATGTATAAACAAGATGCTTTGAGCTAATTCCAATTGGTTGAGGCCATTATAAATACATCTTCGTTAATTCTCACTCATCTCGTATCAGGGCTGGGCGAGTCACCGAGATTTCCGAATCGAGTCGAGTCGAGTCAAGTAAATTTTACCATTTGTTTCGTTTTCTGTTTATTTCATAAAGAACATTAACAATAAGTTTTCATTACACGATATCTAGTTCCTAGTTTTTATGCACAAAAAAGAAAACTAAGAACAAGCATACATAAAGTAAGACAACACAATTACTATAGGTTTACCAATAAAATAAGAACAGTAAAATCAACTCCTTTTTTTTACAGTTTTACATCAGAATAAAACAAAAAAAAACACTTTTCATAACCAAAAGCATAAACATAAACTTAAAGTTACGTACAAGCAAAATTATTTATTAACATTTAAATTAATGTCTTATTGCATTTTAAGGATGTTAAAATACAAATATTAGCTTGTGAAAAACTTGAACGATGTGATCTCATGAAAAGACCACTTTGAGAAAAAACACGTTCGATTGGTGCTGATGTAGCAGGAAC